CCCCCCCCCGCCTCCAAGCCGCTCTCCATGAGGGGGTGCTGGTGGCAGGGTGGGACTGGGGACTGTTGAGCTGTGGTGGTAGGCTGCTTTGTGGGGTGGCTTTGAGCTTAGTGGAGCAGTCACCGGGAGGCCTCGAGTTTTGCTAAGCAGTCGCAGGGCGGGGGGAGGGGGGAGTTTCACAGAGCATCCAGTGGCGAGCTTCGCGGGGTGGCAGCAAGCTTCACGGAACAGTCGAAGGGTGGGGGAGCCTCACAGAGCAGTCGCGGGGTTTGCGGAGCATTCTGGGGCAGGGAGCTTCACGTAGCATCACAGGGTGCCAGAGGCCATGCAACGGAGGCCAGGCCAGGCCTAGGGACCCTAACTGTGCACGATTTCATGCACGCTGGTCCTCTAGTTTGTTTATATTTCTGGCTCCTATGTGAATTTGTGTTAATCATTACTTTATTCTTTAAATCTTTTTTTGTATAAAGTATTACATATGTAATATTTTTTTCTCCCATTAAACCCTTATTGATCCCTTCCCACCCACCCACCCTCCCCTGCCTTCCCTCTGACATTCCACAGTCTGTTCTGTGCTTCTATGTCTCTGGATCTATTTTGTTCATCAGTTTATTTTGTTCATAGATTCCACATATGAGTGAGATCATGTGATATTTGTCTTTCTCTGACTTTCTTATTTAGCTTAGCATAATACTCTTCAGGTCCCTCCATGCTGTCTGAAAGGGTAAGAGATTCTTCTTTTTTACTGCTGCATAGCATTCTATGGTGTAAATGTACCACAGCTTTTTTATCCACTCATCTACTTCTACTGATGGGCACTTGGGCTGTTTCCAGATTTAGCTATTGTAAATTGTGCTGCTTTGAATATAGGGGTGCATACATTCTTTTTGATGGGTGTTTTAGGTCTCTTAAGATATATTCCTAGACGTGGGATTACTGGGTCAAATGGCAGTTCTATATTTAATTTTTTGAGGAAACTCCATACTGTTTTCCATAATGGCTTCACCAGTCTGCACTCCTACTAGCAGTGTACTAGGGTTCCCTTTTCTCCACATCTTTGCCAGCAATTGTCATTTGTTGATTTGTTGATAGTAGCCATTCTGACAAGTGTGAAGTGATACCTCATGGTCGTTTTAATTTGCATCTCTCTGATGATCAGTGACTTTGAGCATTTCTTCATATGTCTCTTGGCCAGCTGTATTTCTATTTTGGAAAAGTGTGAATTTAGGGCCTTTGCCCATTTTTTAAATTGGATTTTCTTCCTTTTGTTAAGTTGTATGAGTTCCTTATATAATTTGGATATTATTCCTTTATCAGATATATCATTGCCAAATATGTTCTCCTATACAGTAGGTTCCCTTTCCAATTTGTTGATGGTGTTTTGTGTGTGTGTGTGTGTTTTTTGCTGTGCAAATGCTTTCATTTTGATTAACCCCATTTGTTTATTTTCTTCTTAGTTTGCTTTGCCCTAGGAGATGTGTCTGCAAACAGATTGCTGCAAGAGATGTCTGTGATTTTGCTGCCTATAGTTTCTTTGAGGATTTTTATGATTTCGTGGCTTACATTTAAGTCTTTTATCCAATATGAGATTAGAATTACAGGCAATATCTCTGATGAACATAGATGCTAAAATCCTCAACAAAATATTAGCAAACTGGATCCAGCAATATATTACAAACATTATACACCATGACCAAGTAAGATTTATTCTAGGGATGCAAGACTAGTATAATATTCACAAATCAATAAATGTGATACATCACATAAACAAATTTAAAGACAAAGATCACAATCATATCAGTAGACATAGAAAAATAATTCTATAAAATCTAGTATGCATTTTTTATAAAAACTCTCAGAAGAGTGGGAATAAAGGGATCATATGGTATATCAACATAATAAAGGCCATATATGACAAATCTACAGCCAACATCATACTCAAAGGACAAAAATTAAAACCATTTCCCCTAAGAATAGGAACAAGACAGGGATGCCCACTTTCACCACTCTTATTCAACATAGTACTGAAAGTGCTAGCCACAGTGATCAGATAAGAAGAAAACATAAAAGGCATCCAAATTGGAAAGGAGGAAGTAAAACTGTCATTATTCATAGATGACATGATATTGTGCATAGGAAAATCAAAAGACTCCACCAAAAAGCTACCAGATTTAATAAAGGAATTTGGCAATGTAGCAGGATACAAAATTAATACACAGAAATTGATGGCATTTTTATACACCAATAATGAAATCTCAGAGAAACTAAACAAGCAATCCCATTTACCATAGCAACAAAAAAAATAAGATACCTAAGAGTAAACTTAACCAAAGAGGTAAAAGACTTGTACTTAGAAAACTACAGGATGTTGAAAAAAAGGAAGATATAAACAAGTGAAAGAAAGTACCGTGCCCATGGACTGATAGAATTAACATCATTAAAATATCCATACTACACAAAGCAATCTATAGATTCAATGCAATTCCTATTACCAATGGCATATTTCACAGATCTAGAACAGACAGTCCAAAAATTTATATGGAACCAAAAAAGACCCCAAATATCCCCAGCATTGGAGGGATTACAATACCGGATATCAAGTTATACTATAAGACTACTGTAATCAAAACAGCCTAGTACTGACACAAGAACAGATATATAAATCACTGGAACAGAACAGAGTCCCCAGAAATCGACCCAAGCCATTATGCTCAATTAATATTTGACAAAGTTAGGCAAGAGCATACAATGGAGTCAAGACAGTCTCTTCAACAAATGGTGCTGGGAAAATTGGAGAAATACATGCAAAAAAAATGAAACTAGACCACTAACTTACACCATACACAAAAATAAACTCAAAATTATTAATTGCTTCTTTAATAGTTTTTTTTTTAATTTTAAAGTTTTGTTATTGGTTATTGAGGTCTTTTGAAGGAATGCTACCTAAGTATGAAATCTTTTACTGTTATAGTGACAATATCTACTGATGGAGCATTTTTAATGTCTTCATGACTATTTGAATTATTTATCATTGCAGCTTCCTAAATGAATATTTATGTTTTTGCATTTTTATCAATTGCATTTTAATTTAATGATGACTTAGAAAACTCACTTATTAAAAAACACAGGACTGCTTATTGGATATACCAATAAATTAAGTTATATTTTCCTCTTTTATTTTAAATTTTTGTTTGATCTTGAACCATTAAAATTTCTTTGGAAATGATGGGATATTTGATATATTCTTCATAGTTTTTTTTTAAATGAAACCTGGACAAGAGCAGGCAGTCTTTGAATATTGTTTAGATTGGCATCCCGATCAAAGGATATAATTACTGGGGGGAGAAGTGGGTGTGGTAGGTAGAGGAGGCTATAGTGGGGACAAATGGTGATGGACAGAGACTTCACTTGGGGTGGTGAACATACAATACAGTGTACCAATGATGTGTTGTGGAATTGTGCACCTGAAGCCTTTATAATTTTGTTAACCAGTGTCATCCCAATAAATTAAAAAAGGAAAACATTTAAAATAATCTAAAAATGATATAGTTTATAAACATTATATATTGGGTTACATAATAGGAAGAAAAAAATAAAAGAAATCAAAGTCATACAATTATTAAAAGGGCGATGAACGAATCAGGCAAAGTCCTTTAGAGTTTGGAAGGAAAGCCTTAAAGTGTTTTAATTTTATGTTCAAAGCAAGGTAATAGAATAAGTTTTTATTATATTTTAAGTGTGGTAAAGGTACAATATATGAACAACACTGAGGAAAAAGTTTAGTAGTATGATAGAATAAAGGTTGGGAAACAAATCAGGTAATTTATATATGAAGGAAATATAATAGTATAAATCACAGATAGGTGCTACCACTAATTATAAAAATTACAGCTTAGAATTAGGAAAATTTTGCCAATCCCCTAAAAAAAGAAAAAAGTAGTCAAAACCAGAAAAGGGTAATATTTCTCATTCTTGGTTCAGAAAAGTTAGACATATATATTTTTCTCATAGTCTTTAAGAATATCATTTAGGAAACATGGGGATATATATATATATATATATATATATATATATATATATATATATATATTTAAATTATTTTCAGGGCTACTCGATCCATATTATTAATACTAGAATCATAAGATTTGACTTTGCTTGAAATCAACAAAAAATGTTTTCACTAAGAGTTATTATATTTTATTTTTGTAAATGAAGTTGTTAATTTGAAATAGCATATATGCATGGATTCTAATGTTTCAAGCATATTAAGTTAGGATGGCAATAGAATTTTGCAGAATTCGTAATTTTCGTAAACAGGTTTCTTCAAGCTTAATGTTTCTATGATTTCTGTTGTTAAAATGTGGTGCTTACCATTAGCAGTTGATCTGACATAAGAATAAATTTCAAAAGAGAATACTGTAAACTACATTAACTTTTAAAATTATCAGAGTTCTTTGAATTGTTATTATTAAATGATAATTCATTAAAAGCTAATTAGGCCTATAGTACTATTCGTTTCTTTTTCCCAGTTTTAGATCCCATGGTATTGCATAACTCTTGATGATCAGATGGTGGGTTGATTATTTCATGAGGAAATACATATGTGTATAATCATAAAATTGAAATAATTTATAAGTCAGTGGTGTGTATCATGAAACCATGCTTTGAATTTTTCTCTTGCAAGTCTGTATGACAATATTATTTATGAACATGTTTATACAGACTCTTGGTTATTTTGTAGAATGATAGAAGTTAAGCTAGTGCTAGTTTACAGTTTATTATTGAAATGAAATATTCATTCTTTGAGTAAATATGACACATATTATATTTAAATATTTGCATATATGTGAGTAATATAAGCTGTACTTTTATTTGCAAATACGCTTTTTAAAAATAGGTATTTCAACGGCCATCTTTATCGAGTTTGGAAACCTTAATGGTGTCACAGAAGTCTGAAATTGAGTATTTACAGGAGAGACTGAAAATAGCAAATGAAAAACTGTCAGAGAACAGATTGATCAACCAGGGTTCCTCAGAAAAGAGCATCTGGACAAGTGTTGAAGGGAAACAAAAGGTAGGGACATTTTTGTCATTTTTGTGAATTTGTCAGAATGAAGTTGGCAGTGCAAGCAATAAAGTTAAGAAACAAACAGGCACATTTACTTCTCTGCTTTTAAAAAATATTATGTGCCAAACATTCAATAAAATAATTGAGAGAAGAATGTTTTCCCTTTTTAAAGACTGAATATATATTCCTACTTTAATTAATGAAATATATAGTCTTATTATTCCTGTTTTGCAGTAAATTAATGTTCATATATTAATTTATCTATAGATTAGCTAAATGCATTAATTAGATACGTTATCTGCATAATAATTTTAAAGTGGTATAGTCACTAATTCAATATTCTAATTTTAATTATAAGAATTAGATATCTTAATTTTTTTATTCAATTATATTTAAATACTGCCCATGTGGAATATAAAATATTAAATGGAATTTAACATTAATATGTACAGTTATAAATACTGAGATTTAAAGGCATAGCAATAGTGAAAAATAAACAATTTTTGTAGCATGTTTGTTGTCTATTAATGTCTCAGGTTTCCCTTTTTGTAGTATTCATTATATATTCCTGTTATGATGCAAAAAATTCTTTGAACATTGACTAATATTAAAACTTCATATCACATTGTAAATATGTTATTTCTAGACAAAATTGAAATAACATTTCCCTAAAAATAAGTTTTAGACATATTTTTCTTATACTTGTTAGTTCAGCAATAGAAAATAATGTTTTTATTAAGTAGTAAGCCATGATTTTAAGATAATTGTTTTTTGTTCTTTTCAGTTTTTCCTGAGTGGAACAAATTATCTGAATAAAGAAAGCATTTAAAATTAGATCCATGTTTCTGTGGTACTTTTATTTATTTTCTCTAATGTTTGTAATTTTCAGAAGAATGAGCTTTATGTATATGTATGATATATGTACTTTTTTATTTAAGCATAACTGTATTTTATGTTTCTTGCAATTTTGGAGTACTTTCATGGCATTGAGCATTATTTAAGTGAAATAAGACATTCCTAAAATTGAAAGAAAACATTACAGGACCTAATTTGGTTACTTGCTTTATTGCTGAAGTTTAAAAAATGCATTGACTTGCTGTTTCATTGCTTTTAAAAACGTCAAGAAAACAAGAGGCATATTTTTAACAAAATTTTTTTCTTTCATAAGGATATTCAGTAAGTATGAACAATATGTTGCTCAGCTTAATAGTTGCTTTTACATATTCCTTCTCCAGATTGGTATATGAAGCTGTACATAATATAAACACACATTCATGTCTCTAGTTAGCCACATTATAGTTAATGACCATATGGTCATTACAGTATAAGATCTACTGTCTGTTGTATTTATATTCCTCAAGCATATTGTTCCTTCAACTTCACAGTGTGTTAAACTATTTCAAAGGGGAAAAAATCCTTTCCCTCTTGTTTCTGGTTGTCCTATCAAGTGTAACCTTGGACCCTTATAGAGCAATTAGACCAGCCTCTATCCCCTCCTTTGTAATGAGGTTTCTTGCATTTCTGAGTCTATAACCCTTTAGTCTTCCCTAATGGGACATCATTATTCTGAAAGAAACAATGTAAATGTAAATGAATATTCTCATTAACGAGTCACAGAGAAACCTTTAGCAGTAGCACTGTGGTAATTCGGCTTGTTATTTCTCTGGTATTCCATGCAGGATTTTTTTATAATTCATTATTAGTATTCAAAATTACGTGTTCTTTAATTTTGCATGTCTTTCATAATCCAGTGTTCCAACTAGTTCAACCATGTCCTTGTTTTATTCTCGAGGAACCACCTGTGAAACGTTCAAGGTCTTTGTCCCCAAAGAGCTCTTTCACAGACTCAGAGGAGCTAAAGAAGCTGAGAAAAGCTGAAAGAAAGATTGAAAACTTAGAGAAGGCACTACAACTAAAGGTGAACATTAAATCATTCCTTTAGTAATAACCTTACAAAGGTAAAGATAGAGAAAGTAAACATTCATTTCACAAACTACTGCTTATCCTTTATCTTTCCTGAATCTAAATATATGTATAAAAATGTGTAATCTGTTGGTCTTGTTTTAAGATTTCTGAGGATCATAAAGTAATAAAAAATTGCTGTTTAAAAACTATCACTTTAAAATTATTGGGGAATATTTTGGCTTAATATTGGAAATACATTTATTATAGTTTCTCAGAGGAAAAAAATAGAATTTTAACAACTAAAAAGCAATTTCTTTTGTTTTTTTTATATATGACTAGAGGCCCGGTGCATGAAAATTCATGCACTGGAGGGGGGTCCCTCAGCCCGGCCTGCTGCCTCTCACAGTCCAGGAGCCCTTACGGGCAGGAGGCAACCCGGCAATCAGGGGAAGGTGATGCCCCCATCACACCTCTGCTGCTGCCACTGCCAGCAGCACAAGCCTCGGCCGGCCAGCCCTGGTTACCTGAGCCTCGGGTGGCCCTGGGTGGCTGGGCAGCCACCATCCGAGGCTTGCCTGCGCCTCGGGCCGGCCCTAGGCAGCTGGGGGGCTGAGGAGACTGGGCACCACCATTGTGTGGCTGTGGGCGCCACCATCTTTGAGGGCGGAGCAGTCAATTAGCATATTCCCTCCTTATTGGCTGTGGGTGACACCATCTTTGCGATGGTGTGAGGGTCTATTAGCATATTCCCTCTTTATTTGATAGGATAAACAAAAAGACTGGTGAGTTTTAATTTATTCTATGACAAGCCCAACTTACACAGGAATATAAATACAAGCTAGCTCAGGCCACTTAGTGTCCTTTACAGAAAAATTACATAGTCAAAATGGTAAATAAATATACATTATTTTTTCCATTTCAGTTGAATTTGTTTTAGAATATATGACATTAGAATTGGCATTCTACCAGTGTTTAAGAAGTATATACCTTTCAGCTTATCTTTGAGAGTTTATTCTTTCCAAGTTATACTCTGAATTCTATTTCTCAGCAGAAGTTGGTTGTGCATATTGAACCAATGTTATACTGAGGACTTTTATTTTTCTGAGATTTTAATGTGGTTAATCTTGTCATTCTTCATTTACAACTACCTGAAGGCCTGCACTATTTGAGATTTTCCACTTAATTGATTCTCAAATAGTTTTATGATATTCTATGACAAGCCCAACTTACACATGATTAGTCTAATATATTTAAAGCTTAGATTCTTTGTCATATAATATAGATTACTCTTAGGGAGAAGGAGGTTTAACTTACATTATATATAGTCTAGAACAAAATATGGTTTACTAGTAGAGGTATAGTTAACCATGGCTACAATTACTATTTTTTTGCCTTTTCACTAAACATTGTGTTAATTTCTATTTATTCAGAGTTAAACTGTTAGTTCTCAAATAAAGGAAAATTATTATCTATTGTTTCTACCCAAAATAAAATGATCATATTATGACCTCAGCTTGTTAGCAGTTAGCCTACTTAAATTTGTATGCCTGGAGTTATTTGCCTATTTATCTGTTTACTCCAGAACTTATGAAGCAATGCAGTTAGCCAAGCAAAGTGCTAGTAACCTGTACAATAGGAGAAAAGATGACTTTCTATCACTAAGATCCTTTCTCTAGATAAGAACATGCTAAATGATTAGATAAATATAGTGTTTCAGTGTCAACATTTGGGTATTACAGGATATTATGGGCATGTTTAGGAAGTCAAGTTTATCATTTTCCTCCTTTTGCATAGTTCTTGAAATTCACATACCATGGCTTCTATCCTGTATTAATCTGGATTCTACAGAGAATCAAAACCAATAGACTATAACCCTTTAATCTTCCTGAAATAGACATCATTATTCTAGAGAGAGAGAGAGATTGATTGATTTACTATAAAGAGTTGGCTCATGTTATTATGAAGTCTGAGAAGTCCAAGATCTACAGTCATTAAGATCCAGGAAAGCCAATGGAATAGGTCCGGCCTTGTCCAAAGGCCTGAGAACCAGGAGAGATGATGGTGTAAGTTTCAGTCTCGGTCCAAGTTTGAGTCTGAGGGTAGGAGCTCTTTGTCCCAGCTCAAAGACAGTCAGGCATAGAGAAAGAAGTCTTTCTTACTCAGCCTTTTATTCTATTCAGGCCTTCAATAGATTGGATGAAGCCCATCACATTGCAAAGGGCAATCTGCTTTTTAAAAAATATATATTTTTATTGATTTCAGAGAGGAAGGGAGGGTGAGGGACACACAGAGAGAGAAACATCAATGATGAGAGAGAACCATTGATTGGCTGCCTCCTGCACGCCTCACACTGGGGATCGAGCCCACAACCGGGGAATGGAACCATGACCTCCTGGTTCATAGGTTGATGCTCAACCACTGAGCCATGCCAACCGGGCAGAGCAATCTGATTTTTTACTCTGCTAGTTTAAATGTTAATTTCATACATAAGTACCCTCACAGATACACCCAAAAATAATGATTAACCCAATATCTAGGCAATGAAGTTGGCATATAAAATATCCCATTTAGTAGTAGAGAATCTCCACTCATTTGCCCCCAGCATTCTGTGAGTCTTTGATAGACCCTTGTCTTTGGCAGGAAGGAATAGAACAATTCAGACATTTTTAGAGCTATTTTCTTCCACCTCTTGAATTTCTTATTTCAGAAAGTCTCAGTAGCATTCTACTAATTTTTTTTCTCATTTATTTTATCTAATAACAGCTCTCTTGCATAAGGCCTCAAGTTTATTTTTCAAAGTAACACTGATTTTCAGACAATTTATTTTTCATTTCTACTTTTTCTATATTCCTTTTTCAAGTTCATGTATGATAATCATGAATTTCAAATGCATGTTTTCTGTCACAGATTTGCAAGATAAGGCAAAAAATGGGAGCAATATTTTTTTGCATGTTATCATTTAGTAGGGAAGGATTTCTTATTTTAAAGGAGTAAAAGAATTGCATAAAATGGGTACTGTAATCAAGTGCATATAACAAAAGAAGTGGGTAAACAAAACCTGTATTGTAAAGCAATTCTAAGGAGAATGATTGGGCCCAGGGTGCTTTTTAATTTACATATATGCACTTTGATACATTGAAATGATGGTAGTTACTAGATCAGCCATAAGTCATGCATATTATTTTAATACTAGTTTTGAGTTTTGTAAAAATATTAACACATTCTCTTGCTCAGCTTTCTTTTGTGGCTAGTTGTACAAGTTTTCAAGATGGGTGACCAGTGTTGTAATAAAAGAGCCAACAGTAATGGAAGAAATGAAACCTATTACAAAAATCTCATCCATTTTCAAATCCTGACTTCATGAATGTAGTGAACTAACAACTTACAAAGTATAATTTGGAAAGCAATGCATCAGAGCTTTATGAAATTCATACTATCCTTGAGATCACTAATGCCATGAATCTTTCTCTACTATCATGCATTTGCCAACTTGATTCCATTAGCACTGTTCTCTGCCATTTAATAACATCAATATGACCTCTGATTACAGTTTATGTCTTATTTTTAATACTCTCATATTTATGAGCTTTATACATTCTGCTGAAATTAAACATCAATGGAATACTTTATTCCCTGAAGGGTGAGCCAATGTTTCATTAACAGTGTTTATACTCTTAGTTTGTCTTATGCCTGTCAAGGAGCCTTTGTCCAACTAGAAGACTAGATTAAGAATCATTCTGTTCTTATGAACTCAAAGTAGAATTGCATATATCATTGAAGAAAGTCAGTTCATACAACTTTCCTATTTTCTAATTTTTTAGTTATTTAGACTTGTTTGTACATATAAGTTAAATATAGAAGTTAGAGCCTCTATTTTAGCTAGTTTAATTGCAAAATACATAAAAGGTACTCAGTAAATGTTTTATTGAATTATCTAATAAGTGGATCTAATTCAGTGACTGTCCATTGCATATTTTTGTGTGTCCTCTTAGGAAAATACAGTAATTAGTGATGTTACATATATTTTTTATTCCTTATACTTGATTTTGTTATAAGAACTTTGTGGATAATAATTCCCAACTAAATTGCAATTGTTTTGACTTAAGCTATTATAAGTCAAATGGGACCTAAATAATCATAATCCAAACTACAGTTAACCTGTATTTTTAGAATATTATAAAAAAAATTGATTATTCTTTATAAACATTTCTTTTGAGATATATAACTTTTGACTGATATATATCTATTCTTGTAGTAAAATAAGAAAACTTTTATTTGGAATATATATAATCTATCTTTCTGTCTATCTATCTAGCTAGCTAGGTTATATTTATATAACATTTTTAACCCTCACCTAAGGATGTGTTTATTGATTTTTGAGAGAGAGAGAGAAAGAAATAAAAACATCAGTGTGAGAGAGAAACATCGACTGGTTGCTTCCCATATGCTCCCTGACCCGGGATTGAACCTGCAACCTAGGTATGTGCCCTGACTGGGAATCGAACCTGCAACCTTTTGGTGTATGGGACAATGCTCCAACCAACCGAACTACCTGCCCAGGACTTAACTGTCTATTTTGAAGTAGACTAAAAGAACAATAGTCTCTAGGACTAATTTAACCCATGTATTACAGTTGAATATTAGCATTATCAAAGCACAAATTAATGGATGAAACTTTAGTTAAAATAATTATTATATATTATGTCCATGAAATTTATTTATCAAATCTCTAACTTCATTTCATTTTAAATAGCTTAGATTTTAATAATTTCATAAGACTTATATAAACATTCTAGGATAAAAGAGCTGTGGTACATTTACACAATGGAATACTACTTGGTTATACTAGTGAAAAAAAGGAAGTCTTAACCCCTTGCGATAGCATGAATAGACCTGGAGATTATTGTGCTAAGCAAAATAAACCAGTCAGAGAAAGACAGCTATCACATGATCTCACTTATATGTGGAATCTAAAGAGCAAAATAAACTAACAAACAAAATAGGACCAGGGGCATGGATAAATGGAACAGACTGACAGATCTCAGAGGGGAGGAGTTTGGGGAGGACTAGAAGAGAACAACCAAAGAATATATATGCATATATGCATAGCCCCTGGACAAAGAGAATAATGTGGTGAAGCCCCATGGGGGGGATGGGCAGAGTGGTGGGAGGCTAAAGGACTTGAACTCTTATCAGCACTTAACACCCTGTATTTAGGCTCTTAATATATGGTTCTTAGGTTGAAATGAACAAAAATGAATTCAGGAGCCGGGATTTTTAACTATGATATAAACCAGTTACTTTTTGGTACTTGGTACACAAAGGACTCAAATACTTCCTAATAACTACTTAATAGAATTACTAAAGTTATCCTTGTAGACATTTATTAAAAGTAGAATGACAAAATAGCTATACTATTGAGATAATTAGAATTCAATAAAATAATGCAAACTCTATATTTAATCTTACTATTGATAAGGGAGATAGATAGTCAAGGAAACAGTGAATTTGGCTTCCAAATGATAAGAGCGTTAAGGAAGCTGAGTTGTGCTTTGTGCCTCTGTAGGGCAATCACAGTGCTTGTTTAATTTAGTCGTCATAATTTAAATCTCTGTCTTTGTATATTATACAGAGAAAGAAATTGTATTAATTTATATAGTGTTCTTAAGATTATGCATGCAGCTAATAGGAGAAAGCTTCAGGAATGGAATTCATATCTTTCTGACTGCCATGTGCCTGCTCATCTAACCTCACTATACTATTAGAGAGTACCTCTTAACCTCACTAAATAAGTATACAAGTTCCTTCATACAGAAATATGAGAGTTTAAAAAACAAATGTGAAATTCTCAAGGGTAAAAAAACTCAAGAATTTTCTTACTTTACTTTGAGAAACACAGTTCATAAGTAATACAAATATATCCTCTGAATTGAAAAATAGGCCTTTATAAGTTCATTTTGTGGTTATATCTAAAAATAAAGATTTATTGTGTGTGCTTTATTTAAGACAATTGTTTAACCAAGTAATGTTTGGTTTGTCTATTTCATGACCTCTTCAAGAGTACTAAATTCAACTTTCCCATCTTCATGGTACAACCCAAAAGGCTAACCTGCACTCCTCCTAGCATAGGTCCAAACTGATTTTCTTCCTCTTGTGTAATTATTGTGCCTTATAACAGACTAATCATGAATACATGGGCTGAAGAATGGTCTTACTTAAAGTCACTTACATAAATTGTATGTGCACTTATAATTAACAAACTAATCAGGTTAATATATGGATAAATCCTTTTGTTGAAAAATAAAAATAAAACCTCTATAAGATTGGCTCAATAAATATTTGTATGTATTAACAACAAGGAAAAGAAAACTAATTTGATAGCAAATATTTGAAATTACTTCATCAGCTTTAAAAAATCAATGAAAGTCAAATTTATCAAGCAATCCTGTGACTTTAGGAATGCTTTTCTTCTTAAACTACATAAGTATAAATTCATTCATATTTATATACTATTTTCTTTTAAATTTCATATTTTGATAGGAAACCTTTTATGTGTAACATTATACTAATACTTACTTCAGACTTGTGTGCTTGCTTTTTTGTGTTCTATAGAGCCAAGAAAATGATGAGCTAAGAGATGCCCATGAAAAACGCAAGGAAAGGCTACAGATGTTACAGACCAACTACAGGGCAGTAAAAGAGCAATTAAAACAGTGGGAAGAAGGCAGTGGCATGTGAGTTACATAGCTCATAAAGGCATTTCCCTAAATATTAAATGGAATGGAGTAGCATCATATAAGTGTTTTAATGGCTTTTGTTTGATTTTAAAGAAATTATTTGTTAGTCAAATCTTTATTGTGAATTTTTAAATAGAGAATATAATAAATGAAAACAGAAAATATGCTAGCAATAACTACAGGTTTTTCTATCATTTGCAGAAATCATTAGCATAAGTAATTATGAATTCTTATATAAATTTTTACTTCATTAGTGTAGCTTAATAAATGCTATAACTTAAAGCAAAAATTGTTCATATTTATTTGATTGAAAACTATTTTAAATAAATAAAATATTGGTGTTACAATATTTATTACTCAAAAATTATTTAAATTTTAATTGAAAGACAAGAGAAATATGAAATTCACACATATATAGTTAACTATCTTAAAACTAATTCAACTTAGTATGTAATTTGAAAATCTTTACTATCCATCAGTTTGTTCTGCAGCTTATCTGAATGAATTGGAGGTCTCAGTTCAATTGTCTTGAACAGGTGTTCAGTTGTTGGTTAGTTGTGACACTCTTGTTAACAGTATCAACAAAGGGCAAAGGACTGAATGTGTACAGAAAATCTACTACCCTTTCATCTTTTGAGATGGATCCTTTAGGGCAATGTTGATGGTACACATTGGTCTATTCAATAGAGAAATACTATTTCTAAATTGGCTAGTACAGCACTTTTACAAAATAAAAATGAAGAGTTTATGTATAGAAAATGAAAACATAAAGGGCATTTGGCATGTTTTGTAGATCTAATTGTCACATCTAATTTTCTTCCTTTGAAGAATGGAAAATGCAGTGATAAAACAGTTTGTCAGTAAAGCAGTGATAAAACAATTTGTCAGTAAAGCAGTGATAAAACAATTTGTCAGTAAAGCAGTGATAAAACAATTTGTCAGTAAAGCAGTGATAAAACAATTTAGATGCTCACCTGACTTTTTAGTAGTCACTAGAAGTGTGAAAACTACTTTCTCCCATATTCACTGATAACAGCTTGATTGACTATAGCCTTTTTTAGAAACTGACAATCTTACAATGTATGTTTTATTACTAGTGGAATGAATGAGAAAAATAGAATATCATGTTCCTGCTTGAAAGTTTGCTTTCCACAGTAACAGTTTAACTTTTTAGGAAATTATGATACAGGATTTTAATTTCTATGTACTTAGGTTTTAGGGAATTCATTCCATAAATAGTGAGCTTGAATTAGATGTTTGGTCAATAGATATTTTTTAAATTTAGGGAATATTTATATGGATTTTTATTGCACTTTGAACATGTGAAGGAAGAAAGCAACTTTATTTTTCTGATTTCAGTCCTATTTTTAAAATAAAGAGAGCAGATCCCCAACAACTTCGACAAGAAGATTCCGATGCTGTATGGAATGAACTGGCCTATTTCAAAAGGGAAAACCAGGAGCTAATGATTCAAAAGTGAGTTTCTTTTTTAACAATATGGGCTTAGATAAACATTTGGGAGAAAGTTTTTGTGAATTAAAGGCCCTGAGAGAAGTACCTTAGAAAATTTGGAAATGAAATCATCTTTTATTATGCCAATAAAATTTTTAAAAAGGACTAGTTTGTAAAATATATATGTATAATGCAATAACAAGTTGCACATTAGCTAGCTCTAGCTGCAACTGTATAATATGATCTAGGGATTGTGTTAATTAATGTGGCTCTCATCTGTTGGAGGTGTCGCTCTTCATTAGCCTGTATTTTAGACACTGCTGTGCTTCATTTTTGGAATGAGGTGGAGAGGGGATAACCTAGCCAGCCATCCTTGTTTGATCTCCCAGATACATACGCAGTGCAGAATGCCTGAGCTCTCTTGGTTCCCTGCCCTGTCCTGCTAATCCCAGTTGAGCTCATTATGGTGTAGCCTTGCTGCTACTCTTGGAGCCAGAGCTGTCCAAGCTAATTACTGGTAGCAGCAGAACTGCCTGTTAAGGGTCTGGTATGTATCTGCTAACATGGTCCTTGGTAGTGACCTGCAAAAGACACTAGGGAATTGCTTTCTTTCTTGCTGTGCACTGCCTGTCCTTTGGGCTTAATGCTGATCCCTCACATAGGTCTTTTAGCTGCCTTAAATATAAAACTTGATGAAGGATTCTCATATTTATAAAAACATACAGTTTGCGTCCTTGATCTTATAATTCACAGGCTATTATATTCAGCTTGGAAAAAAAAGAACACTTTCTTTTTTTGAAACAAAAAGGAGATGGAACAATATAATTAGTTCTTTTGCTACTTAACTATTTTCTCATTTAGAGTTAATTTTTGATATTCAGACCATGCAGTTTTGGGGAAAGCCTGGATGTTTTTTAGATTACTAGAACATAGCATTACCTATGGAATAATTTAATTAAATATTGAATTAGCTATAATCAAAATCTTATATACTATATAATACCACATGTAACTTTAGATTACTACCTTCTCTGTGTAATTGTAAACATTTGAGCAAATGATCATATCGGATTTAAATGTATACTTCCAATTACCTCTTAAAGTGTACTATACTCTATGAGTGCTATTTTTTCAATGCTAATAATAGTCTCTTATCTTGAAAATAATTTTATAGATTTGTCCCAGAAATATTCCTTGATAATTTTAATAGCTCTATTGAGATATAATTCACAAGACATATAATTCACTATATAAAGTGAATAGTTCAATAACTTTTAGTATATTAGAAGAGTTGTGCATCACAATAAATTTTAGAAGATTTTAATTAAGCCCCCCTAAAATCCCAACACCACTTAGCTGTGACCTCCCCAATTCTTCCACTCACATTTGTGAATATGTGTCCCTCTACCCACCAGCCCGACATAACCACTAATCTACTTTCTGTGTCTATAGATTTGCCTATGCTGTACATTTCATATAAATGAAATTATACAACTTCTGTTCCTTTGTGACTAGCCTCTTTTCACTCAGCATAATGTTTTCCTAATGTTTACCCATATTGTAGTACATATCAATATTTTCTCTGGTAATCTTTAGTGTTCTTTTTGTCTACATAAATGAAAGTTAATTTTGGACAAAGTGAATTAGGTGAGAAGACCTGGCCTACTTAGTTGCAAGATCTAGTCTATTCAAGAAAATTTCAGAGTTTAGCTGTAAGTGGGGATTATTTGGGATTTATTTTATTAATTAATGAAATAGAACTAAAGAAAAAATAATGCCTGTTTAAGAAAGTTAGAGAACTTCTTAGAACATTCTGTTCATTCAGCAATGTGTGTATGTTACAGGTAGCTCTTTGAATTAAATGTTAAGAGTCATTACTAAAAGTGTGGAATTTTTCCTTCCTGAAATCTGTTTAAATTCATTTGTGATAGCCATTTGTAAATATAAGTATTAACTTAGTTAAACATAGTGAAATTTGGATTAATAAACTTTAAAGAACAATAAATAACTGATATAAACTTTAAATCATATAGTAGCGCTTTGTAGGGGGAGGGTTGAGTTATTTTGTGAAACATTTAGTTAACAGTGTATTTGAGCTATTGCTCTGTGACAGGTACTGTGCTAGGTGAATGAAATGAGAGTTTTAGACACACTTTCTAATCTCAAGGAACGTCCTTGGAAACATGTTCAGTATTAAATGTTCAAATGAAATATGATGTTAAAATAAAACTAAAAGTCTTATAGTGAAACAAGACTTACAAATGTAAATATTTTATTCATTAAAATTTGTTTATAATGAGGAAAGAATTTATTTGCTTTTTAAAAATTTATATATAGTAGGTGAATTTTTTAGCATATAGTTTTATGAGTTATAACAGTGTATATATTTATATTTATATTTATATTTATATTTATATTTATATTATTTATATTTATATTTATCCAATAGATTTGAGTAACACCACTATCAGGATACAAACTAGTTCCATTATTTCAAAAAAAATTTCCTTTTTCTTCCTTTTTGTAGTCAAGTCCCTAACTCCTGGCAACCACTGAATTATTCTTCCTCATATAGCTTTGCCTTTTTTCAGAATGTCATATGCATGGGATTATATAAGCGTTACCTTTTTGAGCCTGGCTTCTTTCACTCAGCAAAATGCCTTTGAGATTCATGCATATTGGTTCATCCAGTTTGTTCCTTTTTATTGCTAAATGGTATTCTGTTGTATGGATGTTCCACAGTGGATTTATTTATTTCCTGGAGAACATTTGGGTCTTTTCATGTTTTTTTGTGTGTTTTTTTCAATTATGAATAGACCTGCTGTATATGGGTTTTTGCATGAGAATAACTTTTTGACTCTTTAAGGGAAATACTCTTAGTTGCGTTACTGGTATATGGTCAGTGCATGTATAACTATAAGAAACTGCCAAACTGTTTTCCAGAATGGGTATTCCATTTATCATTTCCACCAGGATGCATATGGGTCAAGTTGCTCTAATCCTTATCAGCATTTAGCTTTGTCATTATTTTTTTAGTGCATTGGTATCTCATTGTGATATTAATTTGCATTTCCCTAATGGCTAATGGTATTGATAATTTTTCACGTGCTTATGTGCTGTCTTTATATCTTTTTTATGACTTTCTGTTCAAATTTTTTGCCATTAAGAGCTAATAGTTATTAAATCAATTAAATGACCATTGTCTTTTATATAGTCTTAATATAAGTCATTAATCAAATATGTGATTTGCAAGTATTTTCTCCCACTCTATAGATTACCTTTTCATTCTCTTAACAGTGTCTTTTACATGACAAAAGTTTTAATTTTAATGCTCAGCTTAATATTTTTTTTATTTTATGGATCATAGCTTTGATGTCATATCTAATAACTATTTTCATGACCTGAGGTAATAAGTATTTTCTCCCACGTTTTCTTTGAAAAGTTTTATATTTAGCTCTGTGATCCATTTTGAGCTAATATTTGTATAAGTTATAAATTACAGGTTGAAGTTTATTTTATATTTTTTGCAAATTCTTGTCCAGGTAGTATGAACATCACTTTTGAAAAGACTACCTTTTCTCTAATGAATTGCCTTTGTAACTGTCAAATATTAACTGAATATATTTTCTGTCAGCCTATTGCAAATTCTATTTATTTCCATTCATCTGAATCCCTAAACTTTAGTGAATACGACACTGTCTTGATTACTGTAGCTTTCTGAGGAGTCTTAAACTTAGTGTGAGTCAAATAGCTTTATTCTTTTTTAAAATTGTTATGTCTTTTCTTTCCTTTTCTATATAAGTTTTAACTACAAAAATAGGTAAGGAAAAATAGCTGTAGCTACCAAAATAATGTAGGAATCTTGATTTGAATTGTGCTAAATCTATTGATCAGCTTGTAGAGAATTGACGTATTAACTATGTTGAGTCTTCTATTCCATGCATATGGTATGTGTCTTAATTTACTGAGATTCCTCTTATCAATGCTTTATAGCAGGGGTCCTCAAACTACGGCCCGCGGGCCACATGCGGCCCACCGAAAACATTTATCCGGCCTGCCGGGTTTTTTTGCTGCCACTGTGTGCATAGGAATTTGTTCATAGTTTTTTTTAAAACTATAGTTCGGCCCTCCAACGGTCTGAGGGACAGTGAACTGGCCCCCTGTTTAAAAAGTTTGAGGACCCCTGCTTTATAGTTTTATAATGTAGATTCTATATGTTTAATACTTTTGTTAGATTTATATTAAAAATGGTGAAGGGATTAAGCAAAATAAAAACAAAACAATTCATAGACACTGATAGCAGTATGGTGATTATGAGGGAAAGGAGGTTGGGGTAGGTAGAAAAAGGAAGAGAGGGATAAATGGTGACAGAAGGAGACTTGACTTTGGGTGGTGAACACAACACAGTATAATATAGAGATAATGTATTATAGAATTGCATACTTGAAACCTATATAATTTTATTAACCAATGTCACCCCAATAAATTCAATAATTTTTTTTAAAAGTAGAAAAAACCAGTATTTATATTTTAGAGCTATTCTAAATGGTATTATTTGCTAGTATATAGAGTAAGTTACATTTTTGCATGCTGACATTATATCTTACACTAGAGGCCTGGTACAGGAATTCCTGCACGGATCGGGTTCGGCTGGCCCATCCCCATAGGGGCCGATGGGGTAGGGCTGGCAGTGGAGAGGGGCCACAGGCGGTTGGTGGGCTGGCCCCGCCCCCTGGTCAAACTCCCAGTTGAACTCCCAGTCGAACTCCCGGTCGAAGGGACAATTTGCATATTATCCTTTTATTATATAGGATTGTTATATGCTAACACATTTCGTACCGCTCAGGAGTTTTCTCGTGTTTCGCGCGCCATCTGTTAAGGACCGCTCATGAGTGTTCTCGTTTTTCACGCCCATGGAAAAAGGAGCGAATCTAGATACTTATGTAAATTTTGTTTGGTCCCTCTTCATAGAGGAAAATGTTTTACACAGTACCATACATTAAAAGTGTACTAGGAACTTTAAT